TAACCAAACAGTCTCAAATTATGGGAATATTCAGTGTGGGACGGTCGCACATGATGTCGGCCCAGTGCGTATCAAGCCTAGCCTTGAACTGTTCAACTGAGGTCGACGACACGACCGGGTGCGGAAGAGCGTTCCAGTCGTTGACAACCCGCGTGCTGAATGAGTTTGCGACGGACGAGAGTCCTTGATCGAGGTTTTTCTGAGCTTCCATTGGTGCCCTCTCGTCACCATCCGAGTTGTGCCTTGTCAGGAACTCCTCTTCCGATAGCGACATGCCTCCATGAAATAGCTGGTACAAGACTGTTACCATGTCTCCCCTGCGACGACGATAGTACAGTGAGGGCAGCTGAAGGAGTCTGAGCCTCTCAGGGTATGGCTGGCGCCTCACTTCATAGACAAGCCGGGTAGCTCGTCGCTGAAACTCGTTCCAGCCGTTTCTGGTCCAGTTTGCCGAACGGGTCCCAGATAACGTTGCCATACTCTAAGTACGGACGTACTAAGATCTCAAAAAGCAATGGCAACGTGCGAGCATCGATATTGGCAAAAGACCGCCTCACGACCGCCAGCATCTGGTTGGCCTTGGAGATCGCTTCCGCCGTTCTGCACGTGGAACTGGAGCCGGTAATCCACGAAGATCCCGAGGTCCTTTTCAGTGGACTCGACCGCGATTTCGGCACCGTCCAAGAAGTACGTCAGCCTCGGGTTGCAGTTCCCGATGTGCATTATTTTGCACTTTGCTGCACTAAAGGGGAGCAGCCACTCCTTTGACCACTTGGCCAGGGCGTCGAGGTCAGCCTGCAGAGGTGAGTGAGTCAGGGGTCTCGGGACACGACAGTAGACCTTGGTGTCATCCGCAAACATCTTGACCACGCTTCGCACTTGCTCTGGTAGATCGTTCACGAAAATAATGAACAGCGTTGGTCCAAGTACCGACCCTTGCGGGATGCCGCTGACGACGTCGGTCCAGTCCGACTTCGAGCCCTGGACCCGCACTCTCTGCATCCGATGAGTAAGAAAAGCCCTGATCCAGCGTAGCAAAATTACCTCTCACACCGTAAGCATGAAGCCTGAAGAGCAGACGGTTTATGGGGAACAGAATCAAAGGCTTGCTGAAGTCCAGATACGCACGTCCCACCGGTTCTCCATCCTCTACCGCGGCGCTCCAATCCTCCATAACCTCTAATAGCTGGGTGGTACAGGACCGCTTAGGGAGAAACCCAGCTGGGCCGCATGAAGGAGTCCAGACTCTGAGAAGTGATTAAGTAGGGCATCACGGACGAAAGTTTCGAGTATCTTGGAGGGAATAGCAGTAAGGCTCACTGGGCGGTAGCTCTCGCCGGAGATTGTCGGTTACCCTTCTTGAAAATCGGGACCACCTCACCAGCTTCCAGTCCAGAGGGAGCCTTCCGGATGCCAAAGATTTTCGGTAAAGCATGCTGGGGGGTGGCTGCCAGGGCATCTGCGCACTCGCGAAGAAGCCTTGGATGGAGATCGTCTGGCCCAGGGGCGCTCGAGGACTTCAGAGGCGGCCAGTTTCCTTGCCACTGCCTGGGTAGAGATGGCCACGTCATCCAGTAACGGTCCAGTAAAGTTACACGGTAACACAGGCATGGCACTAGTCCCTTCGTCCGTGAAAACGCTGGCGAAGAATTTACAGAGGACGTTTTGCCTTCCCTTCGCTACTGCTGGTCAACACTCCATCATCGTCAAGAAGGTCTTCTACCCTGCATCTTGTGCGTAGTCTAGAGTTGGCGTACCTCCAAAAGGCCTTGGTGTCTCTTTTGATGTCTGCTAATAGTTTAATCTCATACTCTTTCCGAAGGTGCCTGGTCAACTTCCGCAGGTCATTGCGACAACGCACAAACCTGGCATGGTCCAGAACATCCTGAGTCCGCGTGTACGTTCGCCATAGTCTTTCCTTAGCCTTCTTTAGTTGCATGGCCCTTGGGTTCTTGTATAAGTTCTTCTTAGCTTTAGCCTTTCTCCTGACGGAGCAAACCTCAGTGGGCCCTGGCGATTCTTTCCTTGAAGAACTTGTAACAAATCTTCGAGGGCGAGGCTCTCCATCAGGGACCAGTCCATTGACCTTAGGGTGTCAGCCAGATGCTCGTAATTTGTGTGTGTCAGCTGGCTGGGACGAGGGTTTTGTAGCCCAGAGTAGCAGGACCAAAGTAAACCTGATAACCACATGGTCCTGTTACCCAGCCCTGGCAGGTATTTGATTGGCTACACCATGCCCTCCTCATTTGTGAAAATTAGGGTCCAGAACACTAGGAGCTTCACCAACCCGGTAGCGTGTTGGCTGCCGGACATGCTGAAACAAGAAAACAACCCTGAATGGTGTCTATCAAAGAGTGGGTTGGGTGACTCTCTGGAGCTGACGACCTCTCTGTTGCCCAGGCGATCTGAGGCAAGTTAAAGTCACCTACAACCATCACGTGAGAGAACTGGGCTCTGCATGCTTCTGAAGAAGGTCTGTCCAGTTGGCTCACACTGTCCTGGATGTTGCCTGATGGACTTCGTATAATGCAGCCAAGTAACAGGGCATCCTTCCCACTCAAGGCCATCTTCAGCCACACTTGCTCCAGAGGACTTGACCCAAATGAGTGCTCATCTGCATTTAGTAAGTTGGACACAATAGACACATATGCCTCTTCTACCACTAGATCCAAGGTTGGGCTGAGAGACATTAAAGTTTGTGTACAGGGTGTACCCGGAAATTGATAGGAGAGATGGTGCAATAGGAAGCTTCTGGGCCTTGGGAAGAGCCTCAGTCAACAGCATGATATCTGGCTTATCATCAGAAATGAGCATACATAAATCATCCCTTTTACTAAGGAACTGGTCAGCATTGGTGTACAATATCTTCAGACCTTGCCTACCCTGCACTGATGAGCATTATGCAGTCATTGCGGACCGGGGGAACCAGCATCAGCCTGAACTTGAGTATGCTGATTGCGGATCCATCCCCAGTGACTGAGGTCGCTGTGTTGCTATCACTCCTGTCAGAGCCCCTAGAACCCCTGGGAGCCTGAGCGGGGTGACCCACAATACCCTCACCAGCAGGGTCCAATAAAGGGGGACACCCCGCTTCAGAGCCCCTGGAGTTCTCACTTGGGCTTGTTGTAGGTCCAGAGGCAACCGGAAGAAGCATGCTGGTGCCTCTGAGACCATCAGCTTGGCAGACAGCTGGAGCTGTTGACATTTCATCACTTCGCCGGACACCTGGAGCTGCCGCTGGTATGGTAGAGTGAACCACACTAGCTCTGCTCTGAGTTGAAGTGGTGTTTGTCAGTGTTGGGTGACCTATAAATTTGGCAAATGATAAGATTAGCATTATCACAGAGTAAGTTCAGCATCAAACCACTTCAGCTGTAGAGAAACTGGGTTCCAAAGTTGTATATGATGAAGATGATCAGCAATGTATACTGCTGATCCACCACCTAACCCCTTTTGATCTGCTGCAGTAGAAAGCTCGGTATCCAGGTAAGTCATAATGAGATTCCAAAGCTGGAGACAGCCATGTTTCAGATATAGAAATAACATGCCATGTTATAACAGTCTGGGCAAGTAGACTACTTAGATCTTCCTGCTTCTTCAGGATTGAGCGAATGTTAACATGCATAAGGTTTAGTGCACTGGTATTATGTGGAATAACAGTTTTTATCTTTTCAGGTAAATAAAATGTGCATGCTTCTCTTAGTTTTTCATATTCATCATATGATTCATCATATTCACCATCATATTCATTTTAGAAATTTCATATTCATCATCATAGTCACTAACCAATGGACCCACTACTTTTTAGAACTTGAGAGCCTGGTCTCAGGCCCAGCCCGCCTGCCTTCAACTGTTACAAACTCTTCAAGATTAGCAGCCCTGTTTAGCACATGACCAGCAGGAATGCGGTTCAGGGTCTGAGAGTATATGAATCTATTCTGGCCTGCTACACTTCTGTTCGCCGAAGAGGACAGTGTGGGTGAGTCTGTCATGGCTTTAATGATCTGTTCACGTGTGAACCATGGCTGTATGCGTGCATATCTTTTGTCACGTGAGTTCCTTGCCAGAATGATGCCGTTTTTAGTGTGGAAGTTCATGACCTGGTCATTTTCACGCTTCATATCGGCAAGAACCTTGACTTGTCGAGCTCGCTTATCAGTCAGGTTTTCATGAATGATGATGCCTGGGCCATCAGTCTGCCGGAATTTAGCCTGGTAAACATTGTTCCGATCGTCCATGTCCTGGAATTTCACCAGCACCCTTTTTTTGTTTTTCAGACGGTGGAACGCCACCACGCCACCCTTTACGTCTACCTTGAGTTTTTCTTTGATGACCTTGAGGGCAACACTTCTGGTCCCCTCAGTGGTTTCATCTGCCTTTGGCTCAGGGATACGGACAGGGATACTATCTCCACTCAGAATGAGGGACGACTTGCGCGAGTATTGCTCCGCTTCATCGACAGCAGCCTTCAGATGTTTCACCCATTTCACGAAGCTCGGAGTTTTTCCCGTTTCAGTTTCTGAGTTTCATCTCTCAGGAAAGCTATCTCACGTTTAAATAGCTCCATCTCTTTTCCCACCGCCTCAGCTACGAGATCCTTGATTTGTTCCATCTCCACCCCGGAACCCCGGAATGAACTGGTTTGGTTAAGCTACATTAGATTTAACTATTTCACATGAAAAAGTGGCAAAGTACACCTACTTGATTACATGCAAAGAAAAGAAAGAATTTACCTGAAGATATACGTTAGCTACCTAGTACAAACCCTGCCTAAATCACTGAGTTTCGTTCGATCCAGATGAGATTCGTCGCGTTCGTCACAACGAGGCACGTCCGCACACATGAAGCTCTGGAACACGAATGTTTGTTTTTTATCTAGTGCCAACATCAGAAGTTATGTAACAAGCTTCAAAATTCAAATACCCAAAGCATGTCAGACGGGTGAAACCCCTGAGGACGTCTCCCTGACGGCCCACGTGTGCGTGTGAGCTGCTACTTACGCCGCCACCTCGGAGCGTCAGCTCGTGCTGCCAGGTCTCCAGGTTGAGCTCGTCGAAGTTGTCCTCGAAGATGAGCTCGCCGGACTCGGCCGTCCTTGCCGCCATTGTAGGTGGTGACGCTCGTCGGGTAGCGAACGGCCGTGGCGCCGGCCGCCACCAGAGACAACAGCAGTACGGCCAGCATCGCTGCAAGCGAGGTCACACACTGCTGCATCAGTCGCCAGCCGACGCGCGGACCGGCCTCGCTCGGCGCCGTGACATCAACAGCCCGGTCGCGCTCGGCGCCGTGACGTCAGGGCGCCGAGTCATCTCGCCAGCCCGGTTTTTTACGTGCCATTCTGTACGAGGCTTTTTGGTGCAAACTAAAGGCGAAGCAGTCGGTTGATGACGGAGGGGGGGGGGGGGGGGGGGCACGAAGTATGCTTTAGGCCCATTGGATTGCTGCGACGCCAAAGGCGTGCTTTTAAATTTCGAGATGATCGGCTGGCACGCCTCCTCCCCGCCCTTCTCCGGCGCCGCCGTGTCGGCAGCATTTGCGTGCCATCACGTGTTGCCGGCCTTGCACTGCATAGTGTCGTGGGTGTCGAATGACATTCCTTTGTGAGGGTCCTGACCCCGTAAAGTTGAGTTGCCCCCCCCCCCCTTACTGTCGGCTTGATCCTCCCCCCTTATGTCTGGCTGGAACAGGGGCACAGAGGATGTTATGCTGTGCTGGCGCGGCGTAACCCTACTACCGACCACCGGAATGCGGGCCTGAGCACAACACACGGGAGCAAATCGCTTTGTGGCCGTGGGTTCGCGACGGTGCTAAAACGCAGCACACAGACGGCAGTTTCATCATCCTTCGACGCATTTAAATTCGCTTACTTCCGACTATTACATGCTACATGTTCGCTTATACCGCATGGACGTCTTCAAAACTTCAATGCCCTTGTCTTTAAACTTGAGTACCTTGCATATTGTGTGTCTAGAAACAAAAATGGCGTAAAGGTAGCTCGCGAGTATTAAAAATACCAAAAGGCACCAAGACGTCCCCACAGCACTAAAGCTAGCCAAAGCCCTCATGGGGCCGACGGAAACCCTTTTATCTTAAAGGGAGTGTGACTAGTTCTTTCGATTTAAAAAGCATCCCTGCAGATATTTCAGTCAACCTTTTGATATTTACAGCCATTGCAGGCCCATTTAAGGCTTCTAGCAATGGTGATTCAATGACGTCACTTGTTATCATCCATCGTAACGATGGCCGTATGGGCTGTGCGGGCGCTAACACAGCTTTGTCGCCCCCATGGCATTTTCAGGCGCCATGGACAACCTTATAGTATACCCAGACACTTTTCCGGGTTTGGGAGCACGATATCATTTGTACGGTGGCCTAACACGATGGAAAATTTTCAGATCTTACAGGAATTTTCCTGCAGTTTTGCATTTTTATTTAAACCTTGCGAATATTTTCGGACACCAGGGGTACCCTGTGGCCATTTGAGTTAGCTTGTAAACATTTGGGATGTCCTTTTTGTTCTTAATGGCGACCTTCCTCGCCCTAAGGGCACATTTCCAGACCTCAAGCTGTGACGATTCAGGAGCAGTGACGTGAGGTATTCAATGATTCTGTCAAGTTCTCCAACGTAAGGGCAAAGTCGCTCTTACTGTCCACGTTCATTTAATCGTATAGGTTATCGACGTGATTTTTTTACTAAAATGAACGATTTGAATCTAGGACTGACAAAATGTGCCTATGGAAGCCAAATGCAACCCTTAGAAGTGATTTCTGTGCATCTGACGCCCTCTTGATATACACTCATGTCATTGGACTCGTTGAAAAAAATACATTTCCCTATCTGGAGCATGGGCCCCCACCCTCAAAATTTGCCATTGGATGTACAGCTGCTCCATTTTCTGCTGCTTTTGAAAGATGGGTTCGACTTCAGGACTCAGCACAACAGCTCTGGAAACGCCTAACTCCGGCTTGACGCGAGCGCACTAGTCTTCCTGCTGACGTCAGAGTATGTTCACAACCAATATGTGTTTATCCTGTGCCTAGAATAAACGCATCGTGGTGCACACGGTGAAATGCACACGCCTAGCTGCGAAGCCTTGCATAAACGATTACATGCGGCTTTTGAGTACAATATTTGCATGCACGGTGTAACGTGCAACTTTACAACCCAGCAGCTCGAACATAATTGCATTCCTAAAAATAATCTCAGGAATTTAATGGCAACATTTTGGTCAGGCGGACAGCACCCCAATTAAGTCGACGAGCATGCGTGGACTGCACCCCACCGATTTTTGCTAGCCTTGGCTCACCGAATATATCATTATTAACATGAATTTGGTTTGAAAACAATCTCTAGAATGATGCTCTAAGCCAAGCATAGCGAAAAATAGCGTACGTCTATCATCGCTTAGGTTTCGTGCACCATTCTCAGACGTACCGGACACAGCCAGTAACAGTGACACTTAAAGGGCTGCCCAGCATTTGTGTGGGGTTTGCAGTTGAAATAGCCGTTTTAAAAGATCATTCGGCATAGTTCACCACCCTGTGCTTCTTAAGACCTACAATCCTCTAGTCTCCCTGCTACGAAGGTGTACAAAGATGCACCCGCAAAGATGTGCATACTCTGTCAAGTCATTTAGGGATGCAGGGCCCCCATAACGTTATTCAAATCCTGCCACCCAGGGGAAAGAACACTGAGTACTCCAAAGTTTTGACTAGTGGGCATCGATAAATACTTCAAGTATACAAGAATCGGAATTGAGACCAGATTTGGGGTGTTGCATGCACCAAAATTTTGGCAGTACTGTGCTAGCAGCACCTCCGGGTTGTTTGTGGCGATTAAGTGCAATTGCGTATATCAGTCGCAAAATGCTTGAAGTGCGATGCCTCTGAACTCGGTGGTATATTCATCGATTTATTCGGCGGCGCATTCCGATTTTCTCTGCAAAAGGATTCAATGTGCATTATGGCACGAGAACATCGAAATGACTTTTGTTTTGCAATATCATGTTGACCATTGAGGCCAACAGCTTGGTCAAGAACGGGGAACCTGATATCACCCAAAAATTGCCGGCCGATTGCAAGCTGCAAGCATCAAAATGTTCATAAGCGCAAGGGCGAGCGTCCGTCAAAAGTCCTGACCTCAATGTCACCCTTCAGGGTCAAACGCGGGCACAAGGCACGGGAACTCCAAATTACCGAAAATTACCGGCCGATTTTGAACTCGCAAACATCAGCATATTCACCAGAGGAAAACTAGCGTCCGTAAAAAGTCTGACCTCTCAATATCATCCGTCAAAGCCAAGCGTGACCTCAAAGGACGGGGAATTTAAAATCACCAAAAACTACCGGGCGATTTTATACTTCCACATAAAAGGATATTCACCTCGGAAAGAACTAGCGTCCGTCAACAAGACCTGACCTCTCAATGTTACAATTTAGGGCCAAACATGGGCTCAAAGGACGGGGAACTCAGTATCGATCTAAGATCAATGGCTGACGTTAAACTTGCAAAGCAGCATAATTGCAAGTTTAAGGTTACGTCAAGCCCCAAAGGCGCTGGAACAGCAGCAGTGTTTATCCCCG